CATTGGTAATGAGGAGCTCGTCGAGCTTGACAGCTTACGCCTCTCAGGCGACTGTCCTGACATTCTATAAGTTTTGAGTCTGTTCTAGAACTATACAATGTTTTGACATTAGCATATCCATGCTACATAGGAGAAAACTTCAATTTTATCTCCTCACCTACGTGATTGACATATCTTGAGCGACTCCCCTTCTACACTTCACTGAAGAACCTTGACCGCATTTTCATTGTTAATCTATATAATTCTACACGTTTTTGAGCAGAAAATGAACGCGGGAAGGACAATGGGGTTGAAAATACAGAAAAGGATACAGTTGTCGTTCTTACGTTTCATTTCGTATAGTGTACAGAAATCTATGTGCTTTTTTGAAATTTCGATTTGGTTTTATTCAGTCGTGTACTGAACCTCTAGCGTAAGCCAGCAATACAGCACTAAACAAAAATTCATTAACAGCCTTTCTAGCAGTGAAATGACGTGACAACTATATCCAACTATATTGAGAGATAAGCAAAACTTTGAACCTCGAGAGGGAGCTCAACATGCGTCTCATTTCTTTCGAAGATGCGTGCTAACCCCCGCACTACAGGAGCCCTTGCTCTGCTGTCATTTTTTTGGATACAAGGAATCGAATTTGGCAGCAGCCAACCGTCAACAGTTTGGGTTAGTAGGAACATTACGGCCTTAAATCCTAGTCAGCGTTAAACTCTGCAGCAAAATAACATCAAATACGCAGAGCCTTAGGTTGAAAATAAGGTTTAAAATCTCAATATGGTGCTCTGCATTTCAACTCTCAACTTCACCTTTGAGGAAATTCGATTCGACACTACGAATAGGCTTACCTCTGGATGGACGACGGTACACGATCCGAAGTTTTTTTTTTACCGCCACGATATGAATCACTAAATTTCATGTGTACAAAGCAGCTTTTCTTGGTTAAAAATGTGTGGACACAACTCTGGGCATAGATGGTAGTCACACGTCGCCAGAAGTATGCTAAGAAATGTTTGCGTGAGAGCATTGAGAAGGAACATCTGCACGATGAATTATGTTTGACTTGCATAGATAACATAGTGCTAATATTGTAAGAAAATTTACAGTTCAACATAGTTTTTCTTCTTTCAACGCTCAAAGAAAATTTTAGGAAATTCATTGCTTATCTACATGACACACCATGGCCATACTACGTCGGATGTCAACAAAATTGGCAATTTTCTTTTTCGAATTTTATCGAATGCTCCGAAGACCCTCAATCCACTTCTTTTCTAACGCGGCGGAAACATCGCTCACATAGACGACAACGCTCGAAAACGGTGCACTGAACTAGACAAACATTCTTTCACGCATGATGTCTATTAAATATGTGGTCACTGTTTTTGTACCTGTCATATAATTAAAGATGGCAACGTCATTTCTTCCAAGCAATAATCATCAATATTTACAATTCGTGGTAGAGGATGACTGTAACATCTTAAGATGGGTATACACGTATAGGGAAATTTTTAGCAAAAAGAGTATTTTCCCGGTTGTTCCAACAAATGTCGTTTACTTCAAAAATGATGTCCTATTTTGAACGAAATAAGGTTAAGCGATACTAAGAAAACTAGGTCGCTCTACTATAACCCATTATCATTATGAAAGTAGCAGTTGATTTTGTACGGGCAACTTGTAATACTATAATTTATTGGAACACAGCTTTGTTATGTGAATAAAGATACATTCTAATCTACCCAATTTTGAGAATGGAAGACAGTTTTACTCATTTTCTCAACACAGAATTCTGATTTTCTAGAAGCGACAAAATCCCTAGATAATTTCACTAGATAGACAGTGTAAAATACTCCTCGTCGCCTACTCTTAATATAGGGGACTGAGCGCACCGAGAGGACTGGCTAAAGACGAAGGGTACCGCCCGACTGATGAGACCGTCAAGGTTGAAACATGTATCGGTTCAATAAGTCAACCCTTATAACAGACTACATGACATGTTGACTCAAATAATAATTACGGGATATTCTCAATTTCTAATATTTTTACTGCATCTTCGCAGTGTTACGATGTTTCATATAAACCTAAGAAAATTGAGTGGTGAGCAAAAACACTGCCTTAGGCGGGATCCAACCCGTGTTTCATCCTATGCGGGACGCGTACTCTACCACTACACCACCGAGGCAGATTTGCTCCTATTTTCATTCTTCTACATCACTATGTTGGCTATCGGCAGTCAACCTCCAACAGGTTTGGTCATGTATGCGATTTCGCTTTATAAATCCAGTTGAGCTGACAGCCATTGTGATAACTAGTATTCGAAATTTCTAGTATTTTTACTGCATCTATATTCTCTACGCACACCACGTATTATCTCTATTTACCGAACTAAAGGAAAAACAAAATTTTTTAAGAAAAAATGAGCCAAAGACAATCTATGCAGCAAATTTGAATGCTGCTTACAAAGTAGCGAAGTGATGTTTTAGGAAACCGTTACTCATTCAGCCTCAACCTGAACCACCAATGCGTTTCTCTTTTCATATTGTTTATCCGCTTACTGTCTGTGGCTCAAAAAATCACATCCAGATCTCCATATTGAAGACAAAGTTTAGACTTCAAACCCAAGAAAAAAGACAAGAAACTGTCGCTTTTAGTCATACGTAAGATTCTAAATGATTTTCTTCTCCGCATGTTTGAGTCATACGCAAAACTAGCTGCGTGTTGAATCATACTAAACAAGTGTGCCCAAGTAGTATTAGGATAAATACTTGTTGCATGCCGAGAAAATGTGGCACATAACAATACGCAGAGAACTTTCGGTCGGCAGTCAAAAATATCAAAATTCATCGATAATTAGCACAGAAAGTAGAGGTTGTGGGTCATCTTGACGGTAACAGAGACCTCTCTATCTCCTAATATTCATTTTTAGATTCATCTCATTACGTCCTTCATTTGCACTAGTGAACAAGTCACGAATGCACTGTTGACACTTGAAATAGCTGTTGTTCTCGAAAAAAATTGATTGCAAAAAACAAAAAAGATCTCTGCTGTTCCAAAACTGATGGCGCTTTTTTATTTGACGTTTTGAGTGTGCCTGACTCTACTGTACTGAAGTGACAGGTGATGCACGCTTTATTACTGTTTACCACGTTCAAACTAACACAAGTCTTCCTTTTTCGGTAGTCATACGCTTCCCCGGCCACCTCAGTGAATGACGGTCTCAAGAAAGCAAGGCGAATGGAATCTTTCCAGAATCCATATGACCTGCCTGTGAGGGCGGATTGAACCTAGTGTGTGCAAGCGTATACGCATGCGTAGATTTTGATACGTTATAAATTGTTTCCTATATGCTACACACATACCGCGGATTACTTTATTCACCAAAAACCAAATTACATCACTTCAGAGTTCTTATCGGCCGTGCAAAGTTGAGTCTACTACTAACTAGTGAGTATTAGGTGCGGAATTCTCGCTTTCACTCTGACCATTACAGGAGAATATAGAAAAACTTTTTATTAGCAGACGCAATTGATGCGGTGAGTATTAGTTGAGCTTGACATGTGCCGGCTTCCAATGTCAAGCTTTTATCCAGTGAATTAGCCCATGACGTTACGACGACGAGCTGGATGTGCCCGTCTCCTGCGCTGCGTGCGACCGACTCTAAAACTGAAAACGGTAGTATTTGATTAACAAACAGAGGCGAGAAAACGCAAGCGCGTTGTGGTTTCTTGAATAAACGCAGATTAGCACAGTGACTACTCAGTGAAAGGTCATTCCATTAAAAATTCTAAGGCATCCATATGGCTCTTTTAAAGGAGAAATCCGGATTATAACACGTACCTTCGGCCAACTCGAACACTACGGCACGACCGAGTTCTTTTTCCTCTTGATCTCCTGTGGGAATGTCTGCTCCTTGATTACCGGCTAATTGATCGGCGTCTTTGGGACCCTCTTAGGTGCCTTTTACCACGTCTCGCTGAGAACAGAAGCTTTTATTAACTTGATTCTGAAAAGGAATAGATTGTATTCTTTACATGAATATGTAAAACATGAAGCGCAATTCTGGGGAGACACAGTATGGCAGAGAACTCGGTAGTAACAATGAAATTTCCCTAAGCGCAGTAAGCGAAGGAAACAAGGAATCCGCTTACTTATGACCCACAGTGACATTTAGCATACCTTAATACGACTGGATAGAAATTAGCAGAGCAGTACAAATCCATGTCTTTCTCACTGCTGGAAATTGATCTCAAAGAATGATCGTTTGATAACTCTTTCTAATCTAACATTGACAATCTTGATGAACCGGACAGCATTTTAAATTTATGGAAAGACTTACTTGCTGGCGAACGACGGCTGTATTGGCGTGATCGCCGGCTGCGCCATCGACGGGAGCGTCGACTCAGTGATCGGACGTAACTGCTGCGGGTTCGGCTCCTCCGACTCCTTCTACTTCCACTTCTGGACCGACCTCCTCCACTTCCACTTCTAGACCGGCTTCTCCTATTGGGCATGTTAATAAATGAACTGAAAAACACTCTGGGCCCCTTTTCAGCCTCAACATCGCATCGTAGACACCATAACATGGTGATAAAGTCTGATAAAATGTTATCTTTACGTGCTTCATTTTACTGAAAAACATCATGTTTTCAGTGGAACTTTTATCAACTTTAACGTGGGAACGACATCGAATTTAAGAATAAATATGATCTTTTTCCTTGAACACCATTGAAATCGGTGGTAATTTCAATATTTCCTTGGTGATTATTATCAACTCATCTACTTGAGAGAAAACGGTGAAGTACTCAGGCAAATCACTCTATGATGTCTACTTAGAAATACTACTAATTTAGTGGAATAGGTCTCATCTAAAAAAATTTAAGAGCCCACGAGGGTAATTCTTGGAATGCGTCCACTCATTTATAAAGCGAAATCACATACGCGACAGAACCTGTTAAAGGGTAGTGGCTGATAGCCAACTATAGATGTTGGTAAATGAGTGCTGGCGCAAATGTGCCCCGGTGGTGTAGTGGTATGGCACGCGTCCTCGCTATGGATGAAACGCGGGTTCGATTCTTGCCTGAGGCCATGTTTTTTGCTCACCACTTAATTCTCTTAGGTTTATTACGAGATATGTTGAAATTTGAGCGTGGTTTTAAGAAAACACTCAAAACGAAAGGCATGAAATCCCTAGAGATAAGCCGGAGTTTGGACAAATATTTCAAGAGAATTTGCAAACTTCGGGAATTTTGCAACGACAGAAACGACCACATGTTAAACAAGATTGAGAGTGTCGTTCAAACTGGTATGAACTTATTGTAATCTGACTGCTAACTAAAAATTTTTGGGGAAGTTTTCAAAATGTATTTATTGAGAAATTCATCTACAATTTTGCAAAGACGGAAACGACCACATTTTAAACAAATCAAAAAGCTCGTACTATATTTTGAAAAAAAATTTTTCGACATCTTAGTCCACAGCTTATGGAACTCTTTAGAAGAAAAAATAGAAACAAAAAATGTAGTTAGCACAGTATCATATAAATGTTGACATCCACGTGCACAAAGTCAAGACTTAACCACAGTGATCGCGATTCAATGAATTTCTAAAGTTTTATAGCGGTTAGTTGATCCCGAGGCGCACCATCAGTCCACAGCGTAAAAGTAATATATTCCTCGGATGCGAGGAAAGTGAAAGCGTTCGAGCATTAGTTACCGTGAATGGATAGTGTGAGATGAACTTCATGTCTATTTGTTAAGGATACAGTGAATTAGTAGTTGCCCATATGCAGACGTGATCAAAGGATATTGAGAGAAAAGTCAGCGTCTCCAGCAATATGCTCTCCATGTTATTGCAGACATGCAATGTTTGTAATTTCTCATTCTAATCCCAAAGCTATTTGGATTGCCAGCTGCGAGCTTTACAAGCCATAGTCTGATTCATTGTGCGCTCTCACACACTAGAATTAAGGACTACTACAATGTACACGACTTTACTGAAGAAATGCAAAGTAATTCATTCTACACCGCGAATTATTAACCTTCGCAAGCATAAAATTTCTTGGAAGGTGTTTTTACGAGTGGTACAGTTAAAGATGACTTCTTCAAGAAGTTATTGCCGCGTTTCTATCGAAAAGTACGAGTAAGGTGGCGTGGGGTCCAACGAGTGCACAGATGAGGTAAAGCCTTGCAGCTCGAGTGATCAACTCATACAGCGCTGGCCATACATGAATAAGCAATTTCGGAAATTATCTTATTGACCAGTTTTTGCTAAAAGCGTAAGCTTGATCTACAAGTTTAATCTAGTGATTGACTCTATGTGTATTAGTTTTACCATCCTTCTAAAGTTAATGAATTAAGCAACTTATAGGCCACCATAAACCATGATCTCCTTTCGGTAAAAATTTCAATCAGAAACTATTTAGGATGTGTATATCGGTTCAACTGCTGCCCTGAAATTTATCACTTAGCTTGAAAAGCCTCCTTTTAATGTCGTGTAACGAATCCAAAAAGAATTGCAAACGATGAGTGTTTGTAGCATGAAAGAAGCCTAGAACAGATTTGCAACAACGACTATGCTGCTTTTCCTTCTAATGAAGCACTATCCGTGTGCCAGATTGTTGACTTTCCAACTATGTGGAACCAATCCGGAGCCATCTCTTGAGTGCCCCCATCTCCTGCGCAAACTACGAAAAAATCTTGCATGTGAATTAATTCCAAAGAAAGTTTCCAAGTGATCCCTATCATTTGCAATAGTTTGTTACCAAATCTCCCATTTTTAAAGCCACCCATCAACACCATGAAAGTGTTGAATTCATCGTTGCACCACATAATAGTCAACAACTCCGTATTCCAATTCAACGTTCCGAAGGTGAGTTAGGGTCCCGTTACGAGTCATAGTTAGAATTTAAAAGAGAAATTTTCATCAATTTTCTTTGCTTTTCTTCATATTGTAAGAACTTAAACCTTCGGGAGCGTATGTCGCTTTGTGGTTAGAGGTGTTCTGCGTCGCACATATCGATGGTTCGATCCCGCTCTCATGGTTCACCTGATACCTTCATCCCTGCGGGGTCGGTAAATTGGTACCAGACTGGTCCCATACTTCTCTAGGAGGTTAAGCAACACTGACTTTGCTCAGCGGGAGGCCATAGCGGGTCATTGTAAATGTCAGATATGCATTTCATCTCAAATGAAGTTGTGGGCCGAAGACGTATGCATGGCGCATCCCTCAGGGATTGATCAATGCCGAGAGCTCTATGCCACAAACGCCTCGAGCCTACGTTGATTTATCGCGAGGCGGATGATGCGAGCCTCATGCGTTACAGTGACAATATAGTAGTTTTCTAATAAAATTCAAATCATAAACGCCATTGAATAAAGTTCAGTCGCCGGTCAATGGTAGATGTGATGGAAGAGACTTCATTGAGGCTATTTTTAGTTGAAGCGTGGGAAAACAGTTACAAAAGAACGATTTCTTCACCAAAAATGATTCTGCACATTGTATTACGATGCCACTTCATGGCAAATTCGGAAAACTTCTTATTATTGGTGAGCCATAGAAGCTGAGAGTTGTATGACGTTGTAGAATAGGCTTTATTATATTGAATTATGAGCAATAACTTTTCGTATTGTCCTTTTATACTCTGATGTGAACATAATTGTACTCTGTATTTTGTTCAAAGAACTCCTCTAAGAGATGAATGCATACTCTATCAAGGCTGATTCTTCTAGGAGTCTTTCATTCTAAAATGTGTTCTCGAATAACATTTACACACATTGGCAAAGGGATAATGAAGAAAGAGTCAGAAATGTGTTGTTTACACAACAATGTAGCTTTTGCATCAACAAGGAAAAATTTCTAGATTTAGGTGATGTTTTCACTAATAAAATGCGTTTATAGGAATTTGCCCAATAGCAATCTATTCCTTTCCATAAAGACAAAGTTTGCTTAAAAATAAAATTTCACTGTGTCATACCGAAAAATCCGCTATCAAGTTCAAACAACACACTCCGAAAACAAAATGTTATTGTTTTTTTCCTTAGTAAAATCATGATTGTCCTTTCACAAACACAGCTTGGTATCAAAATTGATATTTTTCAAGCCTACAAAAGTTAGAATAAAAAAGGATAAATGCTATGAAATAGCTGAAATTTTCGTTTTTGGGAGGGTAAAGTTCGTCGTCAAAATTGGAGATTTTTCGACGCTTATACGTTCTTTTTATATCAGAAAAACCTTTATAAGAATCTCTGTTGTGGTATTCCATTGTTTGATAATGACTATGTTTTCTCAACTGGGTTTATAAAGCGAAATTGCATACCTGACAAAACCTGCTAAGCTTGGTGGCTGGCAACTAATATAGAGATGTTGAAGAATGAGTGGTGGCGCAAATGTGCCTCGGTGGTGTAGTGGTATCACGCGTTAACGGTATGAATGAAACACGGGTTCGGCTCCCGTCTGAGGTCGTATCTTTGCCCGCCACTCAATTCTCCTAGGTATATATGTTTTCTCAGAATCTCGGTTTGCGAAAAAAGATCGCATAATTACCTTACAGAGTGCTCAGATGCAAATTACCGCCGCTTGTATTAGCCCCACCACGCGATCTGTGCCCTCTGCAAAGGACACCTGAGACTGAACGGATTTAATTCAGCGTAATTAGCACAGAAATTTAGCTCCGAATTCAAAAAAATATAAAATTTAAAACACAAAATACCTTTCTACGAATAGTTTCGAACAGTTATTACTTTTTACACACTTTGCTCCATGTACTCGTTTTCACACACTAATATTTTCACTATCTTTCACCCTAAACTGTGTTCGCTTTATACAGTCAATATTCTTGTGAAAAGGAGAAACTTTATAAACCGTTTTGTACGATGTCGGTTTACTATGACGTGTAACACTTGCAAAACCAACCAAATTGCACCACATTGTAATCGACTTGGTAATCATCGTCAACCACAAAGGATACTGTATAACGATATATCAGTAGTATCATGAGAAAGATGAGAGTTCTGAGGATGCGCAAAATCGACAAAAGAAACTTATGCAATTAACTCAGTATTACTTAAAGGCGTCTTTTTGGTGTTGGCACATGTACAATTGATTTGAAATTCAAGAACTGAGTGGATTGACGGCGCGAATCTGAGATCGTTTATACCCAGTTGAAAAGTTGAAAACTGACAAATGTGCCCCGAGTCTTGAACGAAAAGTAGCAATCACTTCTGCCTCAGATCTATTCCAAGGCACCACTATGTGTGTTTACTTGATGCTCACATTGTTATGTGCGAAGTGAGAGTGGCTTCTCTACGACAGCCGACGATATTCGAAGCAGTGGTTGGATTGCGACGGAGATAACCTCTGTAGTGGATAACTCCTAGATACTTCCTAAAGTTGAAATCTCATCAACGAATGGTCTTTTTGAAGGATAAAAGATTAAGCTTATAACTTTGATTTATCCCTGTGAGATTGAGTTCGACTAAATCAAGTATCGCGGAGGTGAATGAATGCATATCTGACTAATACAATAACTCATGGTGGCTCCAACAAAATTTTGAATCAGTAAATTTGTCTTATCAAGAGAGTTTGGCTCTGACTTGCTAAACTTCCTGAAATAAAAGACTTCTAAATCTTTCCGGGATTGAACCAGCTGGCGATCCATTGTGTTTTAGAGGGGTAACTCCAAACATTGCATCACCTGCACCCTAATTCATTGCCTACAATTTCTTGAAATTGACGTTACAGGAGAAAAATCACTTTACGAATATGCTCAATCAGTGCGTTATAGTCAACATATCTACACAATATACAAAGAATTGTAATGTCTCTAAATTGCAGCATTTAGTCGGAAGAAACTTTTTCTGTAGCATAAAGCCCGACCAGACGCTTCAAATTCACTACTGAAAAGATGGATGAATTGGGAGCAGAAAAGATCTCTATCTTATCCGGCATGCGCACCACACTTGATTTTTCGGTAGCCGAGTTTGGCCTTTCTTCAGCTGTATAAACAGTAGTTAGCTCAAAAAATCCTGTCAAAAATTGCAGCACATACGATATAGTTTCAGAGATTATGCTCTGTCTATAAAAACTAC